GTTCGCAAATGCGAAAAATGCTAGAAATTTGCCCATCAGATCCATCAGCCTGCTAGGGAACTTCTCCCCCTCACCAGTCCTTGGCCCTTCGCCATGTGGGGGCTAGATATAGTGGGGCCACTGCCAACAGCACCGGGCAACCGAAAATTCTTCATCGCGGCCACAGATTACTTCACGAAATGGGTTGAAGCTGAGCCCTTGGCAACCATCAAAGAGAAAGACGTGAAGCGGTTTGTCTGGCAGAACGTGGTCACGCGGTTTGGCGTCCCCAAGATTTTGATCTCTGACAACGGCACCCAGTTTGACGGTAGCCTTTCGAGGATTTTGTGAGATTTCGAGTTAGAATTCTACAACCTCCACCCCGCTCTTACCGCACGCTCATGGTCAGCCGACATCGAACAAGACCTACGACTGCGGTGAAGAACGGCTCGAGAAGGCAAAGGGAAATGGGTGAAGAATTAACCTGCGTCCTATTGGGCACATCCGAACAAGCCCCGCGGCGATTTTTACCGGGAAACCCATTTGCTTTGGCTTATCGGCATGGAGCTGGTCATACTTGGAAATTGGAATGCGCACCCGTTAGAAGCAGGTTTTGAGCCCGAGCTGACGTCTGAGTTATTGCCTTGGGCTGGACCTAGTGGGAAAGGCGTCGGTAGAGCCCTCATCCATGTGGCCGCCGAAGGCCTTACCACAAAGAGCTCTCAAGCCGCGAAGTAACAGACGGTGCCCCCGCCAGTTTCAGTTGGTGATTGGTTTATTGGCAAACACCCTTGGTGGCGTGAAGGTGATGTATCTCAAGATAACCGGTTAGCGCGGCAAGGCGACGTGACCACCTTGGAGGATAGAGGGAGGCAATCCGCCGGCCATGGGAATGCGGGCCAACCTGAAACTTGTATTACTGTTTAAGTTATTTTTTTTCTTGCTGTTTTTTCTTGTGCAAAGGATTTTTTGCCTTGCCACATGCAGAAGTAATTTCTTTTGCATATTAAAACGAAGTAATTTTGTGCTTATGCACTGGACTGTTGTCTTGTAATGTTAAACTGAGCAATGACTTTACCTCGATTGAAAGAGTTGGTTGTTTTCGTCCAACTTCGGATCCCACCGAGATGGTTTACTCCGGTGGAAGAGATGTTGGTGCTTTTGTCCAAGTTCGGATTTTCCCAACCGAGGATGGTTTATTCCGATGTGGAAAAGTGGTGTTTTTGTCCAACTTCGGTCCCAACCGAGATGCGTTTACTCCGATTGGAGAGTTTGTCTTAGTCCAACTCAGTGGATTTCCCAACCGAGATATTACTCCGGTTAGAAGAGTTGGTGATTGCTTCCAACTTTGCTTATATACCACCGGATGGTTATTCGGTTTTAAGAATTCGTTTTGTTTAAGTATTAACCGAGTTATGAATTTCCAGTTGACGAGACGTTGCTTGTTACAATCTATGATTTAACACACGAGATGATTTTGCCGAAGAGGAATCATCGATAAACACCGTTGCAACATCCTTAGCGAAAATTTGAGTTTTTCTGATAAGAAAGAAATACAAAGGGGCGACAGGGCCCGTTACATCAAAGCGCGAAAGCAAAAATACAAAAATAGAAAGAAAACTAAACTGGGGGAGATTTGGTAAACTCATCACTCGCCGGTTCAAGGTTTATGGTTGGAACTTTGCTTCTCGGGACCGGGCCTTCATGACCGGGCTGCTCTAGCACCTCGCATCTTCTGCCTCGAATCTGTCTCTGCATCTCCTTCTTAGCCCTTCCTCCGACCTCAGCTTGCAACAGCACTGAAGACATCGTTCGCGTAAGGCACGAGGTACCGGGTAGCGAAGCAGGAGGAGGATTGGCAAATACGTCGGTGTCAGAGCCCTGGCCGAGATGCTCGCAGGCGGACTTCCAGCCAGCCTTGAAGTAGATGTCTTGTGTTGCAAAGACTTGCTTCTTGTAGCTCTGCTCGGCTTCATTGAAGCCGGCGTTGTTAGCAGCCCGGCAGTCTTTCTTCTTCGACTTTTTCAGCGCGTTTACCTCGGTTTGGAGCTCATCCCGTTTTTTCTCGGCCGCATCCAGCTGACCGAGCAGTCTGTTGTTGTCTGCATTTGCCATCTTAAGCGAAGACTTTGCCCGGCCGAGCTCGGCTTGGAGGCTCTCCACTTGGCTGGCTGTGTCATTGGCCTTTTGCCGAAGCCTATGGATGCACTCCAATACGAGATGTTGTTCTGAATGGCGTGCAAGAAGCAAAGTTGATTAGAAAAGGAACCGGGTAAACACTTGTGAAATTTTCAGAGGTACATTGACTTACCCTAGCCATAGACTTCACTGATGATTTTACCAACCGAGTGTCAGGGACGTGGTCGCTGCCGACCACGTCGCTCGGTAGAAGAAGAGCTTTGGAAAGATCGAAGGCGAGCAAATGCTCTTTGTCGCCCTTGATCGAAGCCGTGGCCGGGATGTCTTGAGCCCGGTGCTTTAACTGTGGACGCCAGGCCGGCACTGGGACGGGGGCGTCAGATGAATGCTCGGTAGTCAGCTCGGCAGATGGGTCTGCCCGAGCTCTTTTACCGGCACGTCGTGGAGCAAGTTCTCGGCTGGACTGCCCGGTCGCTTGAGAGGCAAGAGCGACCACAGCGCCACTGGATTGACCGGCGACTGGCGAGCGAGTGACAACGCTCAGAATCTTGGCGGATGTGGCGGTGAGCAAGTTCTTGATTCTGCTTCGTTTGGCCATTTCTTGTTCCTCTGTCAGGCGAATGAGGGGAACGTCTGGCAGAGTTGGATCTGGTGGAGGTATTGGAGCGCGTAGGAAGTCTGTAACTTTACTCCGGCGGGGAGCGGAGTATCTGTATGTGGGACTGTAGCCGAGCAATTGGTTGCAATCTCGATCGCGATAGCGGAGTGCGGTCCTGATTGCCTCTACGTTGGGGAAATGATAGTTGGCTTGCAAGGCTTGGATTGCTGCAAAAGAAACAAGAAAGAAAATGACTAAGTACAGAAACATGAAGAAAGTATATTAATCGAGCTAATTTGCGCGGCTTACATGTGCTGCCAAAGTTTTTGCTTATCATCCAGCCCGGTACCGTGGCTGTCTCGTAATTGCCTGACACCCAGAAGAAATCATCGTCATGAAGATCCTTGTCTGGTGTGCTGGTCACGATTTTCTCTCTGCCCGGTCTAATCTTGAGATAATAGGCGAGACCGTCGCCGGTGTGGCCTAGGGTGTATTGGCGCAGGATCTCGGCTAAACCTAGGCTTATGCCTAACCGGTTATTTAGCTCTTGCACGCCGTTTATTATCCGGTAAGTGTTGGTGGACACTTGGGTGGGTGCTAGCCCGGTTCGGCGTAGGAACTCGGTGATAAGTGGGTTCAGAGGAAAGCGGAGGCCTCCTTCGACGATCGACAGCACGGTGAAGGGGCATTGTTCTGTTCTACCCCAAGGCGTGGTCTCTTCTTCTGCGAGCTCCAGGTGGACATCGGCCGTGATGCCGTACTCCTCCCTGAACGCAGCCAGCGCGGCCGGAGTATCCACTAGGAAGCGGAATTTCCCCATTTGTGGCCGGCCTAGGATAGCTCGGCTGAGGGGTTCGGCACTGTGGTAATTGGTTGCTGCTCGGTCCTGAGAGCCTCAGGAATGGACAATGGTCCCCTTGGACTCTACAGGAAAATGATGGCAAGTGTAAGTGTGAGCGCGGTCGCGCGAAAGGAGCTGGACTTTAGCTCGGTCATTCAGAGTGCCAAACCACCTCGGTTGTCTAATCTAACTAAGGAGCTCGATCGCCCAAGCAGACCAGATGTTAGCCCGGTTGAGCGGCCAAGTCCTTTTGTTATCTCGATTTTTGCTGAGATTGAGACAAACATGTTATTTGCTCGGTTAGGTTGGTTTTTTGGATCAAATGAAGACCAGGAGCCCGGTCCGCCCCAGTTCTTCAGTGTTCTTCAGGAAAATAAAGAACACCAAGAACAGTGGGAGGTTTGGGACGGTTTCTATGGCCTATGCCCTAAGAGTTACGTTTTAGTGCCCTAATGTGTGTAATATTAAAGAAAATAGCAACAAAAGAGGGATCGAAGGTCTTACCAGTGAGGGACAACTGCTTTTCCTTCGAGCACAAACGCAAAGAACGGCAAATGAGGCCTGGACAAAGATGTTAGAGCTCTGGAGTCGAATAGTAGAATGGCAGTAGGAGGAAATTGAGTTTGGGGAGGTCTTGTATGTATAGACAAGGGTGAGACCGCCCAAATTCAAATTCTGGCAAAAACGGCGGGTTGGCTACTCGAGAACCAATGGCAACCCGCCACGTGTCCCCATTTATGGCGATGTCAGAACTGAGGAGACAGGTTGAAGAGTCGAAGAGCCAACCGGGCTACTTTCGAAGAAGAGGACGTCAGCCGAGGAGTATAACCGGGCAAGTTTGCAGACAGTTATGTTAACTAGCCCGGTCGCCCTTTGTCATCTTGAAGACCGAAGAAATGTTACCCCGGTCGAAGTATAGGTAATCCCAGTCACGCTCACGCAGAAGGAATTAAGGGGCAATTGAGAGGGAGATTTATGATCTGGAGTTGGGCCGAGGTAACGGCCGAGCAGGTTGAGAACCTGATGATGCATGGGGCCGAGATGACCGGCGATCCGCCCGTTGACGGGTTGCCAGGAATTGGGCCGGGCAGGAGTTGGGCCAAACATGCGCCGACCAGACCGTAAAGAAGCTGCTCGGCAAGGCAGAGCTCGGTTGGACCGAGCTGCTTGATCAGGCAATGGTGGAGCTAGTCAAGCTGAGTGACCGGCGCCCGGAAAGGCGTGGTTAGCCGAGGTAATCATTTGATCGGCAGGAAGCCTCTCTCCTCTCTTGCTTTTCCCATCAAAATCCTAACCATCACCGGCAAGCCCCTCCCCCACCCTCCTAACATCGACAATCCTTCTGAGTGTGATCTTTGAGGATTATTGTTGTAGTAACAGAAGAAACCAACTCTATATACATCTCAAATTGACGAATAGTTTAATAAGAAATACTAAGGGACAATTGAGAGGGAGATTTATGATCTGGAGTTTGGCCGAGGTAACGGCCGAGCAGGTTGAGAGCCTAATGATGCATGGGGCCGAGATGACTGGCGATCCGCCCGTTGACGGGCTGCCAGGAATTGGGCCGGGCAGGAGTTGGGCCAAACATGCGCCGACCAGACCGTAAAGAAGCTGCTCGGCAAGGCAGAGCTCGGTTGGACCGAGCTGCTTGATCAGGCAATGGTGGAGCTAGTCAAGCTGAGTGACCGGCGCCCGGAAAGGCGTGGTTAGCCGAGGTAATCATTTGATCGGCAGGAAGTCCGACTACAGGAGGTGCCCCGGGCTAAGCTTTGCCGAGATGCCGCCTAGCCCGGTCTTCCTTGGCCTTGGCCAGTGAAGTGCTTGGGTATTAAGCACAGCCCGGCCGTGGTTAGAGAAGCTAGGCTGCCGGGCTCTGGTTGAGAAGGCAGGCAGTTGAGATTAGGTGATGTTCAGCAAGGTTTATGCTGACAGATGGGATAGCAGAGCCACGTATCAGGAGTTGACTGGGAGTGGATATGGGGCGTAGAGGGTATATAAGCATGTCGGCGCCCCCCATACGGACGGATGAACACTTTGTAAGAAAACTCCTACACCCTAACACTCCTCTCTTTCTCTCTCTAACCTAAGGTGTGTGCTAACTTGATCGTCGGAGGGTTTCTCCGGCCACACACCGCCGGGCAGCTCACCGTTATTTGCTCGCAGGTGATCAGACGTAAACGGAGCTTGGAAGAAAGGAGTACGGGCTTGCCGGAATATTTCCACCCCGTACAATAGGCATTCTTGAACTGGTGTAAAATTATATAGAAATTATTTGGATTAATTTTGTAGGGTTTGTCAATGGTCAGTATGATTAGAAAATCTCTTAATAACAACTATCATCGTCAACAACTATTAGTAATTAATTTTCTACGCGGTCATTCAAATACCAAAACCCTTAATTAATTTATTTAAAAAAAAAAACTAGTTGGACCCTAGGGTTGTGCATCATTGGCTAGGAATAAAGTCGTGGCGATCGTCTATGATTGGCTAGGAATAATAGAGTGAGACAAAAAACACAAAATTATCATTATATAAATTTTAGAAATTTTATTGTATGAATTGAAACTACAAGCAAAATTGATCAAATATTGAACCTATGAGGGGTGGTTCAACAATATTCCTTCGTCTCAAACAGGCTTTTGCTCTATCCTTGCTCCGGTGCCTAAAACAGGAAACACTCCAATCGGGGGTGCCGAAATTAGCACTCCGACAATTAAGTCAGATTATGTAATGAGTAAAATATTTCAAAAAGAGAGTTTAATTGGTTGATAATGCATACCTCTCTTCTTCTATCTGCCTTCCTTATATAGCCATTTAATGTAGATATGTCCTACATAATATGACCGATTTGCCATCATCATTTTAATATGCCAGGACCCAAGTTCCTACTACACCTCTAAAAAGGTACAGCCCAGACCTACTCTGATACGTGGCATTCTTGTTTGCCGATACTGTCGGTATCACTTAGTCGGTGTATCATCCGATCAGCAAACAACCTGCTCAGCGTTTGAAATTCAATGATTCAATGGGCCTAATTGGTTTGGGTCCATGATGGATGGGCCCAGATATGCTTTGTCTGCCGAATGTGCAAGTTTTTTAGTCGGCTCCCACAGAACCAGAGAACATGATTTAAGAATTGTGGATCATTCACAGGCAAAAATAAAGAAAATAGTTGTATAACCTTCTAGGTTTTACATGTTGTATCGTTTAGTAGTAAGCTCCAATTCCTCAGCAACCTCAATTTAATTTAAGCAAGAGATCATATTCTCCTTTTATTATTTTCTTGACTTATATTCTTACAGACTATCTGGACATGCTAGATGATTTAACTCTACAGCCTGTGAACTAATGTTGTCCCATACATAACTTCAGTCTGGTTATTACCACCAATGTATAAAGAAAAAGTGCAAAGAAGGTCAGGTGTGCTCATGTATAGAAGATCATCTACCTTGAAAGCAGGCTCAGCCTCTTCCTCCCCATGCTAGTTAAAAATTTCCATCACCCACTATTATTTGATCAAGCAAAAACCCATTCAGCGCTCTAAGACTTTTAACCAAGCAAATTACCACTAAAAAAGATGAAGTATATAAAGAAATGAACTAGCTTTGCAGACAATATTACCAGTGAAACTCCCCTCATACTCTTTCTAATACAGATTATAGATTCCAACAATCCCTCAAAGAGAGAAACATGAGCTACACCATTGGATTCCAAACTCAAAGAACTAAAATGGGCATAGGGTTCTTTTAATGATTACTTCATGAAATATCAGGTGTTTCAATTAATACCCAAAAACAGATTTCAGCTCAAAAGTCTTAAAGGACATGTCCCTGTACAGAGGAGGAGAAGCAAGAAATTCACCGCTTTACCAAACAAAACCAACAGAGAATTGACATTATAATCACTAAGTCTATGTGAACAAGATATACAAAGACATTCTAAGTTAACAAACTTTGACAAGATTACAGGACATGGAAATACATTTGCGCAGAATAATATATAAAAAGTGGCTCCAAATGTGGCAAATTCATCCACAATTCCTCATACCAGCATTCAAAAAATGTTTTTCAGAATTTTTTTGAAAACAAGCAATGAACTTGAAGTCAATTAAAAGAAGACAAAAAATTCAATTAGCCAGATAAAACCAGTTTCAAAATTCAATTGAAATACCAACCAAAAAGATGATTCGAAAGTAACCCAAAAAGGGAAAAGGAAAAAAACCCAAGCAAAATCTTGAAATGAATTCAAGTACACAATAGAAGAATCTCTACGTTGAAAGAAAGCTTCAAATGTAGAACCAAACATGTACACCATTAACAGTGCCCAGAAGAGAATGAACTAAAAAGACTGACAAATTAAGAAATAAGAAACTCATCCCACAACAAGGTAAACCTTATCAGCTCATTTGATTCAGAAGACAATTAAAATTTAAAATTTTAAAAAAAAAACTTTATGTTCTAGGCAACAAAATAGAGCATAAATTTGATGAATAAACAAAAATCAAAGAAAATAAGAGCAAAAAAAAACCTGCAATGTCCTGTTTGTTCTTAACCCTGACATATCCTTTAATCCCTTGCTTCTCTTTCCAAAGCCCTTCGTCCTTCTTCTCATCCCTACAACAAAATTACATCTCCACACCATTAATACACACATTACACATATATACAGATTAAAAACTTAAGATAACCACAAAAATTGTTACAGAAAAGTAAAATAGCAGGAAAATTCAATTAGTTATCTATATAAAAGAAAATCAATTTAACATGTTCCAAAAATTCCAAGATGTCGATAGAACAATCAATTTATATACATGCATGCGTACATACACAAGTAGAAAAGAAATCTTGCTTCATTTTACTAAAACAGAAAAGTTAGAAATTCTTCCATAGCTGCACACCCATTCATATCCAGCAATATTTGATGCAATGAAAAATACAAAAAAAACCCAATTCGTGGAAAAATTAAACAGCAGCAATAGCCAAAGAAGAAGCATATATTGACACAATCAATAAAAAAACAATTTAAATTTAGGCTAATTTTTAGATAAATTTGCAGAATAAAAAACATATCCAAACTTAGATACACAAAATTAATGCAAAAATGTCTTCCTCATACCTGATTGAAGAACAATAGAGACAACACACAAAATGGATCATTTTGTACCTGAAACAAAACGACCGAAAATACAAAGTGAACCCTTCATTCAATTTGAAGAACAAGAAGTCCAATCACTTTAACGAAAACTGAAATCAATGAAACAAAGCAACAAAAGAAAACAAAAACAAGCTTGAAAAAACTAATGCAACAAAGTTGAAACTATATATATAGTTTTTGACATTTTTCACATGCAAGAAATCGGGTTGACATACTTATTTCATGTTCCCACTAACTCGAGGACATCTCAAAAGATTATATAGTTTTGGACATTTTTCAAATGCATTTAGCACTTTGCTACATATTAGAGTTGGACCTTACATAGGAAGAGGTTAAGAACTTGGATAAGACTTTTTTAAATTAACAAAGACATCTAATGAGATTGGAATTTCCATGAGCTAGATATTGTACAGAAACAATTAAGTTAAATACACTTCAGACGTACCTTTGCAGTTCAACACAAAGCTAGAAGTAGAATAAATTAGAGGTCATTGCAGGTCGGTGGTGCCTCAACTTGAAAGTGTTTGGTTTTGTAATTTTAGACCCCAGACACCTGACCATGAACAGTTGTATTTTATAAGCTATCAAGAATCTATTAGATCAGCAGCCAAGCAAAAACTTAAAACAGGAATCCGTATAGAAAACAGGAGCAACTATACATGGCAGGATGTACAAATTTTGGGGTACTAAAAAAAATAAAAGACACTGAGCAGCAAAGTATCAATGATGTCCATGGCAATATAATGATTTCCTTAAAAATTAATAACTTAGGGAAAAAAAACAGAGACATGAACATTTAGATAGAAAAGATATAGACATGAACATACACTTTCTCACTCCGGCAAAGCAAAGAGAAAAGCTAATTAAAAGGGAACAAACATATACTCAAGGAGAAAAGCAATGTTCCTACACCAAAAATAAATAAACAAATTAAAATCTATTATAGGTGAGGCAGTATTTAAATAAAAAAAATTTAAAAAAAATCTATTATGGGTTTGGTTGCACGCCATTGATATACCACACTCCCTTCCCTTTACAGTACCTCATTTGAATTCTTAAAAACTTTTATGTTCTGTTTTATTTTCTGAAATTAATTGAGATGATGATTTGATTTGCTAAAAAATTGATGGAAAATATTTTACAAATAGAATAGTTTTTTTATAAGGAAGTTAAGGAATAACATTCCATTTCATTCAATTCAAGTGAACCAAACTACATTACTATTTAAGACTTGAGCTGAGACAATGGAATAAACAGATATAAAAATAAGATAGAGATAAGTGAATATATTCATTATATTCTCTCTCTTTTTTCCTTTATTTATTATTATTTTATTTTTATTTTTTTGACAAAAAGGGAACTAAACATATAGATTGCATCTATAGCTATTGACTGATACATTTTAGAAGTCATATTGGACTGAAGATATTCAGTTTTTAGGACCAAGTTTCAGTTCTAAATTTTTCTTCACTTACTTTTTCTGCCTCTCGGGTACTAAGAAGATGGATTGTTCTATTCTTGCATACTAATGGTATACAATAAGTTTTTCAACAGCACTGAGTTGATGGGTTATTTCTCGGAAATATCTTCAAACACCTGACTTGCCGAATTCTTGTGGTTTCTTGTTACAAACAAGAGGGGAAATCCTAACAAAATAGAAAGGTTAGACAAATGTTTCACTCAAATAAAAATTGAAATGATTGAATCTACATACCATATGAAGAATTACTAACAAACAAATCATATACCACAACAATATTTATATCTATGTCAAACCGTGGAGCCAATGAAGTATTAGTCTCTTTAACAAATCCACAAATAGCTTCTATGCAGAAGTTTTGTATGCCTAGCAAGACCATTGTCTATCAAATACAAAATAATCATTGAACATAGATACATATATATCATAGAAAATTGAACACGTGACGTTATAGAGAACTGCTAATAAAAAATTTCATAGCTCTTACAGAATTTGACTGCTCAAATAAGTGAAGAATGACAAAACCTAAACCAAAGCAATCAAGGGTTTGTGTGTGTGTGTGTGTGTGTGTGTGTGTGAGAGAGAGAGAGAGAGAGTGAAAGCGAGGGAGGGGGGGTTGAATAAAGTGGATAGCGGTGGCCAGTAGGATCTCATCAGTGAAAGAACAAATACAGAGAACAACGTCGATAAGAACAAATACAGAGAACCATAGCACAGCGTCGATATAGAGCTATGAATTGAGTAAAATCGTTTGCGTAGCATAGCATCGACGCTGCCAGCTGTCTTTCGTGAGACCACGTGGCTGATAGATTGAAGGCCCATATGGCTTCAGATTTGCATAACCAACAATGGTGGTGGGGTGAACTAGTAATTTGAGAGAGTTTTGAGGGTTCTCAAGTCATATACAGCATTAGATTCACGCTTATGGTTTCACGCTTTTTATATGTGGTTATAGATATGTTGTTGAACCTAAAAAAACAAAGCCTTTAATTCACTAATAATAATAATAATAAATCTGATTACAAACAAGACATACCACATACAATAACATGATGCATCCAAAATTAAACTCAAAACAATATATATTAAGATAACTATGAGATCCAAACCAAACCAAGAGCATAATCCAAATACAAAATGAAAGAAGATCAATATTGAAAGATTACATTAGCAAATAACAAATGCAATAGTGATGAACTTAAAAAGAGCCAAAAAAGAAGTAACAGCTAAAAGCAACAATCCTAGACCATAAGCCTCTTCTATTTTGTGCACCAAGTGAATCCAATTTGACAAACAAAACCCAAATCCCTCTTCTATTTTGTGTACCAGGAGAGCCCAAATATAGATAGAAAAACCCATTTTTTTTAAATCAAGGCCAACCCATTTTTTTAAATTCTCATCTCCACTTCCTTTTGGTATTTATAACAATATGAAATGAAATAGTTTGGATATGGAAATAATGTCACTACTAACTTTTTTGTAGATACATTATTTCCTTATTCTATCTTTTCTCGAACACCATACATGCATCTCAATATTCTCATTTTGATAATACTCAAATAAGTTGTTCCTTTACTACCTGAACATTCTGTATATACATTACAACACAGTTGGCCTCATAACTGTCACTTACAATTCTGCGAAAACACAACACTCTAGAAACATTTTTTTCACTTCAACCATCCTAATCCGTGTCCATGGGTAACATCCACATCAATCTGTCATTGTCCTTTTTGAATAAGTTATTGAAGATATCAAAGATGGGCACTATTATAAGGTATATACTTTCTATCAAGTTTAATTTCTTAAATTAACATAAATAAATGTAAAGTAAAATCAAAAATTTCAAACATCAAGAGGGATTTATACTTTCAGATGGCATTGTCCTAATAGAAGAATATAGCTCCTAACAATATAGTTGAAAAGAATAGTGCTGAATCATGGTTCCAAATCTCAGTAGATAAAATCATATTTTACAAAAGACTTGTAAATACTAAAAGCCCTTGCATGCTGCTGAGTGTTAGTAGTTACCTATAAATAATAGAGGTAAACCATGGGAATACATGAACTGAACTTACAGTAGTTAAAACCTGGCTGTATGACAAGAAACCAATATAGCCCAAACATCTTTTGTGCACTGTATCAGTAAAGATTCGTAACGATCATTACATCTTTGGCTTGGAGTTTTTGTAACCTTCTTTGAAAAGAAGCTCACTTTTTTGTGTGGGAAATAAATTGCCGTATAGTTGGAAGAAACATCAATTTTTGTATCAGAAAATCAACCCATGTCCCACTTTAAGCGGAGAAGCTGATATGGAGAGAACAAGCACATTGCTGACCCTAGGCAGCTTGACTCACCCAGCATCCTTGCTGTTTGGCTAAGAAGGCATATCATCCACTTCTGCTAATTTGCAAGCTTCATCCAACATGTTGTCATGACTGCAGAGTTCAATAATGCAAGTGTAGTGTTCTGCGTTAGGGGTGATACCATAACGTTCACTCATATATTTAAAGTACTTACGACCCTCAGTCACGTTATTTACTCGTACACAAGCACATAAAACTCCTACAAAAGTAATAGCATCTGGCTGTATATTTGCCATCTCCATCTTCGCAAATAGATCCAGGGCTTCCTCTCCATGCCCGTGCACTCCCAAGCTGGTAATCATAGAATTCCACGTAGCTGTGCTCCTAACTTGCATGCTGTCAAACACTTGCTTCGCATCCTCCAAACTACCGCATTTGCTATACATGTCAATAAGAGCCGTTCCGAGGAAAATTCCCATAGTGAACCCATTCTTGAGAGCAAAGTCATGAATCCAGCGACCCAAGTTCAGGCTCCCCAGTTCAGCGCAAGCGATTAACAGGCTAACCAGTGTAAACTCATTGGGCTTGACATTATGACGCTGCATCCTCCAGAAAAACTCAAAGGCATCGTGGGGACGTCGATTTCTGGCATAGCCATTGATCATTGTTGTCCAGGAAACAACATTTTTGATAGGCATTTGTTCGAAAAGCAGACGAGCAGCATCCAAATCAGCGCAGCAGGCAACGAGGCCAGAGACCATGGTGGTCCAGGAGACTATGTTCCTTACACGCATTTTGTCGAACACCTTACGGCCATAATCAAAATCCCCACACTTGAAATAGAGGTCCATCAGGGTATTTTGAAGGAATATATCATGGGAAAAGCCACATTTGAAAGCGAGCACATGGACCTCCTTTCCTTTGTGGAGAGAAGAGGAAGCGAGGCAGGCCTTGATAACAAATGGGAAGGTGAACTTGTCGGGGGGTGGTAGGCCTCTGCAGATCATGAGGTTATAGAGGAGGAGAGCTTGGTGTGGGCTGCCGTTGAGGGTGTGGGACCTAATGACGAGGTTCCAAGCGAAGGTTGAAGAAGAAGAAGAAGCAAAAGGGGGGTTTGGGTTTGGTAGGGGGTGATGGAGCAGCAAAAGAGTTGCATAGTCCATCTTGGCGTAAGAGTCGCAAAGACGAATGAGTTTTGCAAGGAGTGATTGCTCCTGAGAGAGTCCGTTTCGAATGATTCTCGCATGGATTTGCTTAAGTTGCTTGAAATCCCTACAGTTTTGGAGTAATGACAGTGCAATCCGATAACCAAACCTTCGCTGCTGCTGCTGCCCATGATGATGATGATTGTTAGAGCGCCGGGGGAATGGGTTTCTCCCCGGAAGAGTATCGGGAGTGCATGCAAGGCATGCCACCATTCTATACTAGTATTTATTTATTTAGTTATTGTACAAATTTGATGTTTACTATCTGAATTCTAAGGCAGAAATCTATGCCTGTCTATAATCTTCTATAATAGCCATATATAAGGAAAATTTTAATTTTGGATACTTATTTAACTCAATCCACACGTTTAATAAAATTTTATTTTAATAATAATTATACGTTAAAATAAAATAATTATAATGGCCATCAAAATCTTACCCAACTCATGTCATCTCTTCTTTCTTCTCCCTCTTTTCCTACCACCAAAAATAAAAAATAAACCCACGAATTCTTTTGTTTTTTTCCTCACTCTTTAAAATAAATTCAATTTGTTTTTGTTACAAATCCAATGAAGAACAATAGAGAGTAAAACGATCTTCGTTCGTCGTTAACAACAATACGGTCTCTTCTTCCTCATTATTATTAGGAATGGCAATAAAAGTTAATGGGATGAATATTAATTTTTTATTTTTATTTTTTTATAATTATTTTTTTTAAATAAAATAATTATAATGGCCATCAAAATCTTACCCAACTCATGTCATCTCTTCTCTCTTCTCCCTCTTTTCCTACCACCAAAAATAAAAAATAAACCCACGAATTCTTTTGTTTTTTTCCTCACTCTTTAAAATAAATTCAATTTGTTTTGTTACAAATCCAATGAAGAACAATAGAGAGTAAAACGATCTTGGTTCGTCGTTAACAACAATACGGTCTCTTCTTCCTCATTATTATTAGGAATGGCAATAAAAGTTAATTGAATGAATATTAATTTTTTATTTTTATTTTTTTATAATTATTTTTTTTTATTTCTCATTCCCCATTCTCCATGGGTACTACCCTCCCCATCTCCTAATGGGTTTGGATATTCCTCAATTCAACTTAATCTTTTTTTTTTTTTTTTAAGATTCACAACCAAAACTAAATATACATTCAATCTTTTTTTTTCTTTTTTAAATTTTTTTTTTTTTAAGGTTCATAACTTTTTTTTTCTTTTTTCTTTTAAAGATTCACAACCAAAGCTAAATATACATTCAATCTTTTTTTTTTTTTTAAAGATTCACAACCAAAACTAAATATACATTCAATCTTTTTTTTTTTTCTTCTTTTTTTAAAAATTTTGTTTTTTTTTTAAGGTTCATAAATTTTATTTTTTTTTAAGATTCACAACCAAAACTAAATATACATTCAATCTTTTTTTTTTCTTTTAAAATTTTTTTTTTTTTAAGGTTCATAACTTTTTTTTCTTTTTTCTTTTAAAGATTCACAACCAAAGCTAAATATACATTCAATCTTATTTTATTTTATTTGGCTCAACAACAAAATCGAATACACATTAATTAACATTTTCACATTATTCTTGTGAAAATTTATGTATATCTAGAATTTTTTAAAATTTATTTAAAAAAATTCTATTCCTACAAAAAAATTCCATCTTCTTTTTTAATTTTTTTAATTTTTTTTTTTTTAGTTTATGTATCTCCTTCTCATCTCTATTAATTGATCTTCGATAATCTGAAGGTGAGTTATTTCTCTCGTTTCCATCTTCTTCTTCTTCTTTTTTTAATTTTTATTTGCATTTATAGAATGAATTTTCTTGTTTCAATATCTCCTGCAATTGTTTTATTGGATTTCTCTTTGATTTGATGGTAACCTTAGATTGAATTTTTCAATTTTTATCTTAACTAGCGATCACCTTAATTAAAATTTTGTACATTTTTGTCTTCAATTTTCATGTTTTGGTTATGGTTAATTGCTTATTTTTAATCCATCGTCACATTCTTGTCACCACTAGATTGTAGTTATCGCAAATTGTCGTTACTGTAGTGAGAGAATGAGAGAGAGTGATAATTAGAACTCTAATTGTCAACAGAGTAGGGATGGCAATGGATAACCTACCATATGGGTATCCATGGGGACCAAACCCAAATACTTGGGTTTTTCCCTTTAAATCTCAACCGGGGATGGGTACCCACTAACTTTTTCATTTTTTTTTAGGTACATCGAAAAATAATTTCTCCATATGTTTTCACTACTCTGTTGACAAGTAGAGTTCTAATTCTCACTCTCTCTCATCCTCTCACTACAGCAATGGCGATTTGTGATGACGACAATCTAGCGATGACAAGATTGTGACTATCGATCAAAAACGCACAATTAATCATAATCAAAACATGGAAATTAAAGAAAAAAATGTACAAAATTTTAATTAAGGTGATCTCTAGTTAAGATGAAAATGAAAAATTCAATCTAAGGTTACATCAAATCAGAGAGAAATCTAATTAAACAATTGCAGGAGATATTGAAACAAGAAAATTCATTCTATAAATGCAAATAAAAATTTAAAAAAGAAAAAATAAGAAGAAAAAGATGGAAACGAGAGCAATAACTCGCCTTCAAATTATCGAAGATCAATTAATAGAGAGGAGAAGGAGATACATAAAATTAAAAAAAAAATAAAAAAGAAGATGAAATTTTTTTTTAGGAATAGAATTTTTCTAAATAAATTTTAAAAATTCTAGATATACATAAAATTTGACAAGAATAATGTAACAATGTTAATTAATGTATATTTGATTTTGTTGTTGAGCCAAATAAAATAAAATAAAATTGAATGTATATTTAGTTTTGATTTTGAATCTTAAAAAAAAGAAAAAAAAAGTTATGAACCTGAAAAAAAAAAAAAAAAATGAATGCATATTTAGCTTTGGTTATGAATCTAAAAATAAAAAAAATAAAAAAAAAATTGGTTGTGAACCTTAAAAAAAAAAAAATGAATGTATATTTAGTTTTGGTTGTAAATCTTAAAAATAAAATAAAATAAACATATGGGGAAATTAGTGGGTATCCATCCCCGACCCATCCCCTGTGAATATTTAAATAATATCACTTACCCTACCCAATGTATAAGAAAAAAGGGAAAAACCCATGTGTTTGGGTTAAGTCTCCATGAATACCTATAGAGTAGATTATCCATTGTCATCCCTAATCACCATCGCCTCTGGCATTACAAAACCACTAATTTGACTTCCTGACAAGTTTTCATTTATACATGCTACATTAGGTATATATTTACTGTAATTTTTTCCTCAACTAATCTCCAAAGTCCTTTGGAGATCCACTGATGACAAACTGTATATGCCTCCGTTTGGGAAGTGGGTTGGCTTTTTGATTTTTTTACTATTTTAACTTGGGACTAAAAAGCGTGGTTTGGGATAGGGGTGAGCATGGTTCGGATTGGACCGGATTAGGGTAAAACCAGGACCAATCCGTTATCTACGGTTCCTGAAAAATTGGAACCAATCCAATCCGTTTAAATCATGGAACCAATTTGAACCAATCAATTTAAATACGGATTAGATCGGTTTAGGACCACGGATTCACATAATTAAATAACAAAAAAATATATATAACACTTTAATTTCATAAAAATATAAACATAGCACTATATTAGTTCCACAATAGCAACATCTATTTCTATAATAACGACATACTGTGCTAGAATTTAAACAACCATAAAAAAACTGGTTTCACCATAAATATTTAGATCATTACAAATTAAAACTAAAAACGAACAAACAAAAGTAATAAAAGAATATATTATACGGTTTTATGTTTGAGTTTAGATTTTATATAGAATAAGAGAAGATACTATGGGGGAGGATGTATAATAAAAATATATACTATTTGTATACGGTTCGGATCGGTTCTAATCCGGAACCATATGGTTCAATCCGGAACCAATCCGTGTACTACGGATTTTTAATTTTTCAATCCGGAACCGAACCACGGATTCAAAAAACCAATCCAAACATATCGGATTGGACTGGACTGGATCGGATTACGGATTTCATGGATTCTTTGCTCAGCCCTAGTTTGGAAAGAACTTTTTGACTTTTTCAACTTTTTTTGTAAGAGAAGAGTGTAATGATTATGGGTTGGATTTGATGTTTTGTTTTTTATGGCTAAAATAGCCTATTTTTGTTTTTTGTGGGTATTTTAGCCCCTAACCCATCAAAACCAACTTCCCAAACTGTGCCATATTTAATTTTGGTTTGTTTGATTGAATATGCTCGTTAGATATAAATCTATCCATCATTTTATTTATATAATTTAGCTTCATCCGTATGTTGTCGGGCCTTTTCCCAAATTAAGGTAAAATAGTAACTTATTTTTCAAACTAGGCCTAATTTGGATGGAATTCCGAAACTAAGCTAAAGCGTGGTTACAAACCACGCTTTCATCGTTTTTGTGCCCCTCCCGCAGAAAATTTGTAAAATCGTAAAAGCGTAGTTACAAACCACACTTTTAATTAAGAAAGCGTGATTACAAACCATGCTTTTAAGGAAATTTGATTTATACATAAAGCGTTGTTAGGAACCACATTTTTAAGTAAAATTTATTTTTTTCAAAAAACGTGATTACAAACCACGCTTTTATTATTGGTATAGCACAATGTAAAAACATGTTTTCAAAACACGTTTTCAATAAAACATCAAACCCACCACTCACACTCTCTCTCTCTCTCTTTCTCTCTCTCTCTCTCACACACCCACAACACTCAGACACTCTAATCAAACATATATAATTTTAATATATATAAATTTTATTTTATAAAATTGAGACCAATATTAAATATATATAATACCAATTTATAATAGCAAATAATAATCAACTATATAAAATGATTACTTTTTTACTTTAATTCTTAATTTTTTTTTTATTTAGGTAAATTACGCTGACACCTCCTTAGGTTTATGTTTATTACAGTTCTTCCCTCACCTTTTGGAAATTACATCTCTCCCTTGAGGTTTAAAGTTTTATTACAGATTCTCCCAACAATTTAATTTTTTTAAATACCAATTTTGCCCTCACTGGGTAAATTACATTGACACCCCTCACATTTTAGAAATTACAAACGCCTCCCTAAGGTTTAAAGTAGCATTATCAATTGTCCCCTCAGTTAGTACTAGTTGGAAAAAAATTCATTGAAAAATAAATAAAATTAATTGGAAAAAAAAAATTATTTGAAAAAAAATATATTTGAAAAAAAGTTATTTTGAAAAAAAAAAATTGAAAAAAAAAATTGTTAGTAAAAATTTTTAAATTTTTGTTTAAAAACCAAGGTAAACTCATTTTTTTAATTTACGTTTTTTTCTCAAATTTACAAATTGAGACAACCATTTATAAACCAAAAAAATTATCAAACAAGTTTTTATGATAGTTTTTAAAAATTTTGTAAATATAAATTGAAACGACTTATCAAAAGATTTTTAGGCTATGTATGGTTTGATTTTTAGATTTTTTTTTTTCTTTACATATATTTTAAAGGGTAAATTACATTGACACCCCCTGAGGTTTCAATTTAATACGGATCCCCCTTGACATTTAAAAAAAAAAACTAATTTAATAAAATTAAATATGAAGAAATATATTTAATTTGTAAAAAATTATTTCTAACCACTCGAAAGATAAAAATTATATAAAAATGATTTATATTTACAAAAATTATATAAAAATTATTATTTGCTATTAGAAATTATTGTTATTATATATATTTAATATTGGTCTCAATTTTATAAAATAAAATTAATATATATTAATAATAATATATGTTTGATTAGAGTGTGTGAGTGTTGTAGGTGTGTGTGTCACACACAGAGAAAAAGAGAGAGAGAGAGAGAGAGAGAGAGAGAGAAAAGTATGAGTGGTGGGTTTGATGTTTTATTGAAAACGTGTTTTGAAAACACGTTTTTAGCCTTATAGCAACAGTAAAAGCGTGGTTCGCAATCACGTTTTTGAAAAAAACAAATTTTACTTAAAAGCGTGATTCCTAACAACGTTTTATGTATAAATCAAAATTCTTTAAATGCGTGGTTTATAACCACGCTTTCTTAATTAAAAGTGTGGTTTGTAACCACGCTTTTACGATTTTACATATTTTCCGCGGGAGGGGCACAAAAACGGTGAAAGCATGATTTGTAACCACGCTTTAGCTTAGTTTGGGAGTTCCGTCCAAACTGGGCCTAATTTGGGAAATAAGTTGCTATTTTTCCTTAATTTGGGAAAATGCCCTATGTTGTCAGGCAACTTTGAGCAAGTCGTTTGTTGGGAAGAAGGGGTATTGCCTTGAGGCAGAGCATTTATTGCTGCCTCCTTGTGGGAGGTCTCTCCGAGTATTTGTCGATAATCTTAACCGTTGATATTGTAAGGTTCACCATGAATATTATTCATGTAAAAAATCAAGTTAATCGGATATTCATAACCTCATGATTAGCTCCTAATTGTTTTTAAAAATTTACGAAAGCTATGTTAACCGTTAATTTTTATAGAAACAAATGTGCTTTGGTTGTAGGGTTACAGATATTCAATCAACTTGATTTTTTGTACGGATGTTCTACTCAACGAACCCTACAATATGAACTGCTCAGATTATTGAAAAACATTTAGAACAATCTCCCACAAGAAGCACAACAGTAACAGCTATGCATTAAGGCACGGCAATACCCCTACTCCGGTTTGTGGAGGGGAGGAGAAAAGCCCAGTTTGGTATTATGGGATTTAGTTTTCTTCGAATGAGGATTAGTGCAGCGATGAAGAACACAAATCCATAGTTGTGTGGGTTCCATTTTTTTGCACAAACCAACCTTCAAAAAAATATATAATAAATTTTACAATGAAAGTGTATATATAATATTTGAGTTAAGGGTTACAATTGAAATATGTGGTGTGTGAAATGAAATAATTGATACCTAAACAAATTCATAAGTGTGTACTGAAAAATGATATGCACCGATATAAGTAGACGTGTGAAAATATAATTTGTTTATATAAAAGCGTCAAAAACTCAATGTCAATCTGATGGGAAATTCTATTTTCACACACCACATTGTTTTTGTGCACACATGTAATGAACTTTATTTTTATTACAAATTTACCCTTAATTAAAATGATAAAAATAGACATTCATCCACACACTTAAACATCCAAAATAAAGATATCTGTACACATCTTTTTTCTTGTAAAAGCTCTCTATGCACATCCACTGCCCATGGCATACGATATTTACACTTATTCTCACACACTCCACTCTTTTTCACACTCTCCATTGCTACGTTCTTCCGATACTCTTTCTTACATTTTATTGCATACCTTTTTCCTTCATTCTTTCTCACACACTCCATTACCTACATTCTTCCTCCATTATTTCTCACACACTAGACTCCATTGTAAACATTCTTCCAATGTTCACTCATTAGGTAACCATTGTTTGTCAAACGAAACTTCATGGAAGATTTGCCAAATAATTTAGAAAACCAAAAGGATATGCAAAACAAAAAATGTAGCGACGGAAATGTAACTTTTTTTACTAAGAAATTGTTTTATGTAATTTATGTTCACGATCACCATTCAGCAAAACAATGTCAAATACATAGACAGTATACGAAAAATAACAATTGAATATGAACAATAGTTTCAGAAGTACAATACTAAATTAAAACTTAAAATTCAGAAGTACAATATCGAATAGTCTAAAGTAATTCGATTGTTGGTTTCCGAATGGGTTAAAATGATTCGGCAAACCAGTACTGAATGGTCGTTTCAGTGTGTGCTAACTACGAACGACTATCAAAAATGGAAAAAAAAAACTAATCTAAATTGCATGTTTTTTATATAATAATGGGCAATATTCACTCACCTTATAAGTAATTTATAGTCGGAGAATGGCTACTGAAGATGCCTGTCGATCTTCTTCAATGCCAGTCTTCAGCAGAGGAGGCCAGATGCTACAGGCTACTGGAGAATGCCTGTCGGAGATGGAAAGGCTGGACCGTGCATGGTGGAGGGTGGGATGTGCAAGTTGAAGTGAAGACTATTTTGGGAATTTGCGTAGGCTAATATGAGGGTGTGCACACATTTTTTTTTTTATCAAATAGGTATATTTAAAACGTGAAGTGTGTGGATTAAGATAAATATTTAAGAATCAAATTATTAACGTTATGTTTGAATTGAGTGATTTGGAGAGAAAAGAAAAGAAATGGAGAAATTTTTATTTCTTTTACTTGTTTGGATAATCTAAGTGGAGAGAAATGAGAAGAAATAGAGAGAAATTCATGTCTCTTATAAGCCTCATTTTCAATATTTCCAAAAATAGAAAGATTATGAGAGAAAAGAAATCACTATTTTCATAATATCAATTTTGTTCCTATAAAAGAAATAAAATGATTGAAAATATAAAAAAAGTTATTTTGGTAATATAACATAAAATAATTTCTTTTTTTTTCTCTTAATAAAACTTAACCAAACAAAAATAAAAAAAATCACAATTATTTCTTTTTATTTATTTATTTCTTATCTAAATAAAAAGAAAAGAAATCACATCTACTTCATTTCATTTCATTTCTTTTCTCTTATTACAACTTAAGTATTTATTTCTTTCTCTTTTCTATCCTAGGTCACCAACCATACCCAAACATACCGCAAGTGTGTGGAATGAGAAAGAATGTACCGAAGATAACCGTGGTGTGTGGAAATAGAATTTCCTCCCTCTAGCGCATGAAATCTCCAATTTACCGTGCTGTGCAAGTGGAATTACAGTTGAACCAGAGATTGTTCTTCACCGTCTCAAGAAAGCAACGGTGGTATTTGTTCTCTTGTTCACTTGTTGGCAATGGCGGTGGCCCCATGTACTGCAAAACGGAAGCGGTGCAGCAGTAGCGTAGATCATTATATATGCATTATTGTGTCATCTTAAATTTACCCCTCGGCAGCAAATCAAATAACCTAGTAAGTCCATCTTCTCCCTTGCCTACTATTTTCGGTTAGTTTGGAAATTTCTTAAAAGCTTTGATTTGCTTCATGCTTCCGTCGCGCCCTCTATGTGCTGTGATGTGGTTGTTTTCCCCTTAACCTACTGCAATTTAATCTTTTGTCCCCTCTAGGTGTTGTTCTTGTTGTGTTGTCCTGCTACAATATCAATTTCATGCTCACTATGTGTTTGACAATATGCCTAAAGGGCTATCTTTCTTATACACGTTTGCATATTCATTGTACTCACCATACTGTAAAAACTATAAAACAAATCAACACCTACCTGGCTTGCAAAAAGCCAATTCCAGTGCATTGGATTGGGAGGTATGGTTGCCAACAAAAAAAGATAAATAAATAAATAAAGCTTTATTAAGAACATTCAACCACCTAAAACCCACCCACTAACTGATGCCCACTTTGATGTAAAAAGTAACTTTTAGCTAAAGAACCCCTACCTCCATAATTTGCAATTTACATGGTCTGGATTAGCAAACCAAGATCTCGATGCTCATAGGCATTCCATAAACATTCTTTGCAAAGTTTCTAAAAAGCATTACAGTAACATTCATTTTTAAGTCCAAAATTGTTACAAACCTTATAAATGAACTCTTAAAACATGGAAAATAAGAGCAAAACATAAGGGAAATCCCAAATTATTCCAAACAAGTTTGTCAAAGACGGTATGTGGGTATTTTCTTAATGCAATTTCATAAAAGTTTGTTTATAAGTGATACCAAATGGGCCCTATAGATAGCCGAAGAAATTTTTTACCACAATACTTGCATTTGATACATGTCTTGTTTGTAATTATTTTCGTATCTTTGTACTCACAAGTATGCAAATTATCGAAGTGAGTATAATTTCCTAGTAGCTTTCTTGAGCATAAAAAGTGTTTATGTGAAATTCAAAACGAGTAGAAAAGTGTCCTTTTTTTTTTTGGTGTTCTCTACAAGCATGTTTGATTTGTCTCTCAAAACATGTTTTTGGAGAAAAAAATTTCAAAATCCCTTCTCTCTATTACACATCAATCAATCACTTTTTCTCTCTCATCTCTCATTCTCAATCATTTTTTCTCTCACACTCATTTATTCAACTACAAAAAAATATCAAATCATCCCAAACTCCAAAACTATTTTCAAAATAAACAACCAATCAAATTTTCAAATTTTCTAAACTCTTTCCAGAAAATTATTTTTGAAATAATATCTCAAAACACAAACCAAACAAGGCCGCGTTTTCCAAAATTTCATATAAGTATTTGGGGGAGTTTTCTTGAGTCTTATTGATTAAATCAAGATTTATAAGTTTCTATATCTACTGTTTTAAAATGGCAACTGGAAAATTTGGAAAAATAATGTACACATCCTTTTTCTCGTGATCAAATTTGGGCCTTTTACGCAAATCCTCAAAATTTTCCCATGTTTTCTCGGGAAAAGGACAAAAAAACAACCACCACCGTTGTCGTTTCTCAACTAGCAAAAGAAAATATATATTGCTTTCTAACTAAATTCAGCAATCTACTAATCGTCTCAATTAACTTGAAGAACAACTAATAAATTTGTCCCACCACAGAGATAAAAATCAAATTGACGTATACCAGCTTGGTTTCAATGATGGTAGTTGAAGAGGCAACCACTTTTGGCCCAAATTGAAATTTGAGGACGTTGAGGAGAAGGAGGTCAACGAGGGTTTGAAGAAAAAGCTTGTTGAGTTATCAGCGATTTGAATCGGTGTCAGCAACAAGTACACTGCTGTTTTTATAAACAGAACAAGAAAAACAACCCAACCCAAATCCAAATACATCAAGAAAAGGGCTGAAAATTAATCACAGAACAAAAAACCCAATTCAAAGAAAAGAAAGAACCACTCATAAGTAACAAGTTCCAACAAAGAAACAGAAATTACAGGACAAAGGAAACAATAAATAAGTAATTGAGCGTGAGAGTCAAATGAATTGAAAGATTCATGTTTGGTTCGGGAAGGGATCATGGAAGTTTTGAAATGAATGCTTTATATGATTATCAATCAAATAAAAATATATATAACAAATGAACGCTTTATATGCCTTACATGTCAACCACGTATATTGCACCAAAAAATATGACAAATCCATGCATGGAACCCCATTGCTATGCAATCCTCTATAAATAAATAAATAAATGGACAAGAATACGAACAAAGGCAATTCCTACTTACAATCAATTAGAAAAGTCATTAATCAACAATCCTACTTACAATCTTACCAATTTTATAGTGTAGAAAAATTGAAAGGTTATTTGTGATAGTCTATCATGATTCTGCTTGTGCTTTTCTCTTGTATTTTGAATTGAAACCTACATGGTTCTTAAAACAATTTGGCACTATTGTTATATGCTTGACAGGCCACCTTCAAGATAACACTGAACGTGCCATCCGAGTTGACTGAATTGTCTAATATGCCAGTAGTTCATGAAAAGCTTAACGGGCATCTAAAAACAGTAAATTTCGAAGAATCACCAATTATGTCAATTTATTTGGTGGATGTTGTGATTGGTTTATTTGATCATATAGAAGAAACAACGACCGATGGTATGCATACAAGTTAAAAGGCTTATTTCAATTGTTTTAACAGATTTTTGTTTCTGTTCCATAGTTTCTCTAATTCTCCTGTAGGGATTAAGGTTCGTGCATACTGTCCTGTTGGTAAGAGTGATCAAGGAAGGCTTGCTTTAGATGTTGCAGCGAAGTCACTTAATATATATAAGAAGTTATGAAGCACCGACACTTCAAAACAAGTGTCGTATCCTTGTTGGACACACGGAGACTTCGGGGACATGCGAACACTTCAGGGACATGTATGGGACACACCACATGGCGTGGCCTCTTATTTAGGGGTCGTTTGGGGTGTCCTAAATAAGTGCACTTTTTATCTTTTTAGACTAAAAAGTTAAGGGAAAAAATATGGATGTTTGGGTTAACTTTTTGACTTTTCATGAAAAAATGTGTAATAAAAAATTGTAAAAATTGATTTGTAGAGGAAAATTAAGATTGAAAATTGTGCAGCCGTAATTGTTGACTTTTGATAAATAGTGTTAACTTTTTAACTTTTTGAGTAACTTTTTAACTTTTTGGCTTTTTTTACATACCCCAAACTTGGCCTTAATTAATTTATTTTCAAGGAACATACTAGAGACATGCCAAGTTGTCTTTTCTCTCATTTTATTTTGTGCTTTTGAAGAATGTTAGATGTTTATTATTTTTTTTCTTAGATTTAAATACTTAATAGGTCATCTATAAAAAATGATATAAACTGTAAGTGTTAATTTAAAAGTACTTTTTTTATAATAAAAAAATAGAATTAGAGTTAGTTTTTGTTAATATTGATTGTTTGTAGATGTAATATTAATTTGGAGAGCAAATAAAAATATATGAAAACATATATTATTGCCGTGCCCTCGCCGTGCCCGTGTCTCTATTTTTTTTTTAAATCACCATGTCCCGTGTCCGCATCCATGTCCGTATCTATGCCCGTGCTTTTTAGATAAAGAATAAGTAATTCCAACCATAATTCGATGTGAAATAATCATCAGAAACTTATGGAGAAGATTGCTTAGGTTGAATCAATTCACCATATAGTTCAACAAACATGAAGTATAATAGAGAAAATTGAACATAGATGTGGTAATTGACAATGTCAAGTTTGAGAAAATTTTCCTTTCACTATCTCAAAAACCAACTTTGATTTTGTTGTGCACTATACATTCTACTTCCAGAATCCACTGTAAATTTTCTTCGATTGATTTGTTAATTCTGGTTACTGTTTAGGTTCTTTTCCATGCCTTACACTCTTCCTAAGCTGGATACGGTTGCTGTCCCCGATTTTCCTTATGGGGCCATGGAGAATTATGGTTTGATCACCTATCGTGAATCCAAGCTGCTTTATGATAGCTTGTATTCTACAGCTGTTAACAAACAGAGGGCAAGTGACAATTTTGAGTGAAAATTTAGTGCTGTATTCTCTTTCATAATTTGATGATCCCAGGATTTAAAAAAATAATAATAATAATTTAAAAGCACCAACCTTTTTGCCGCAATTTTTTTTTTTTTTTTTTTTTTTCCACTTTTGAGAATATAGGGGTGACCATTGATTCAATGATTAAGACTTGGCTTAATAACTTTGAGGTTATGAATTCAAGTCTTGGGACCATTACTTTGTACATTATGCCAAAAGTTAGGTGTGTATTCAATCTTTTCCCTCCCAAACTCACATTAATGTATACGAATTCGGCGTTGTTTTTTTTAACATAAGTGGAAGGTTTTTGCTGATTATTTTATGTTTACTTCATCTTCGTTTCCTTCATATTTATATTCATAGAAAATAAGTACCAGTTTTTACAAAGGTTTTTCTGTTGAATACTTTTGTTCTGCCAGCTTGCAATTGTGGTGACACATGAAGTTGCACATCAATGGTTTGGCAACCTGGTAACAATGGAATGGTGGACTCATTTATGGCTTAATGAAGGTTTTGCAACATGGGTAGTCCTTTAATCTTAGTCTTTCTACTTCGTTGCTTCTGCTTTTTTGGGAATTTCCTTTGATGCGATGTTATATCTGTACTGTTCTCTCCTACTTTTATTTATTCAGGTAAGTTATTTAGTTACTGACACCTTATTTCTTGAGTGGGAAATCTGGACTAAATTTCTTGAAGACACTGCTGGGGTTTACATTTGGGTGCACTGGAAACCTCACACCCAATTGAGGTAAAAACAGGTTTGAAGGTGTATGCATTACGTGTTTGTGATTTACAATGAGTCAATGGCATCCTTTATATGGTTATAATTACAAAATTTATTTTGAGAAATAGCTTTTCCATCAACAATTTTGATGCCTGTTATACTGACTTCAAAGCAACATTACCAAGCTGATCCATAATGATGCCACCACCACTTCTGAGTGCATGCGCATATGCGTGTGATTGTGAATAAGCATGATGCAGAGCCCACACGTGCTCACTTGTGCCAATTTGAGTGATAGAAACAAGCTGTAGGTCCACCTTATTTGACAACTTCACAAACAATATGATACCCTAATATTGGAGCTATTTACTTCAACAGGTATTGCTGTTTGAAAGTGCACCATGAAATCCAGTTTTGTCCATTTGACGTTGGCAAGCATATATTTGGAGGTTGAGATACATCATGCTCGTTCAATTGATGAAGTTTCTGATGATAAAACCTATACAAAGGGGTGTGCTATTATTCCAATGTTAGGACTATCTTGCTGATGACATTTTTCAGGTAAGAATGTTCCATTTATAAAGATATTGTTTAGTAGTCAATCATATAAATTACTTATTCATACTATTTAATCTGTTTATGTATAATAGTCAAATGCCATTTGCAATTTATCATGAACCTTTAATTGCCTATTAAACTTAAAACTAGAGATCCTTGAATAGTATTTCAGATCTAATTACTTGGTCGATGACGTATCTGTGGCAGCTATCTAATTTTCTTATTTTAATGATATGAGGTGGTTCATAAATGCCCTGAAATATTACGATTGTGTGGAGGATTATGTCCTAGATCCATGTTGTCACTATAGGTTAGTAGGCTAGAAAAAGGACTTCATGTTAGCATTTGTGCCCTGAAAAATCAATTTAGTGACTTTATTAATTGATTTTATAAAATTGTTTGGCATTTTATTTTGCATTTTGTATATTATTATGGGTAATGTTATATTTAATGTTACATATGATGTGAACATAAGGTCACTTGGGTAACATTGTAGAAAAACATGCTAATGGTTAATGAACCAAAAGCTGAGAGTTATGATTTTTCGGTGCCTTGTAGACCCAATTAATGTTCTAGGCTATGGGTGTTGATTGGGCGTTAACTATTATGGCCTACACCTGTTTTGCTGCTATATGATGGAATGATTAACTCCATCATTAAGGTAGTGACCTTAACCAAATAGGTGGGTGTTGTGCAATAAGTACATGCACTGAACATGATTGGTTTTGAGAGCACCTATGGAATGATCACTGTCAGTTTAAAAGGTAGTTCTATTACAATACATTTATTTTCCTTTAACCTGATAGGCTTGTATAAATTAATTAACCATTTATTTAACTTTGATATTGTCAATCGGTAACGCCGAACCAAAAGCTATATATGGACATGTTGGATTGTGTGAGTGGTAATTGATTTATATATAGGTGCTTAACATGGAATCCACCATTCTCAAAGTGAGAAAGCATATTCAAGCAATTTTTTCTACTAACGTTGGACCAAAAGAAAACCGGCTTGTTACTTTTTCATAAAAATATTTCTATACATATATAATTACAAAAGTACTATTTTTGAAAAATGCTTGTGGGGTCCAATTAGAAAAAGGAAAAATTTAGAATTCAGTTACATGAGTTAGGGTTTTTTGATAGTGATAAATTTGTCCATACCTAGTAGCTCATGTGGAATATAGTTTGGTGGAAGAATTGTGACTAATTGTAAGAAAGGGCGTTACTTGTAATTCTTTACTTTTAGGGGTTTAATTGTAATGTGTTGATGGATATTATTGTAATTAGTGGAAGTTCTATAATAACATTAATAGAGGCTATCGGAAGCCTATAAATAATAAAATATAACATCAATTGAACTGTGCAGACTTAAATGAAACAAGACAAATTTCGATATACATATACACATAAGTCCAAGATCAAGCTTATGTATAACACAAAATATAATCTAGAGATTAACTCCCAATAACAAAACAAAACGGTCATAATAACATTTAGAACAAATCTCAGTAACATTTCAAAATACTTAATTATAAAGACAATGGTGAACTCTATACCACCCAAGAAGTCTTGAAGCTTGACCGGGTTAGAACCTCACAATAAGGCACAGAAGTTGGCTTGACAAAAAGCAGAGTTCAGGTTGACGCTACTAAGTCTGGTTTTGCACTTGATCACCTACATACATATATATAAAATAGTGAGTTAGAGCCCAATGAATAATAACGGTATAAAGGGATAATGAATGATGTCCTTTCAATAATTTTAAACAGTCAATTTCATCAGTGAATCAATATCTCATAACATATCAAATCATATTGAAATTATAGTAGTTATATGTAGTACATCCAATAGTAAAACAGTACAATAGGTCACATAAGACCGAACAGTTATAATTGATGGCCATTAATGTAGTAACTAGTAGTTCCAAATATTAGAACTGACAAAGATCTCTGTAACAGTAGTAGTAACAGTAACAGTAACAATAATAATAACAAATGCTATGAATGCCATGAGTATATTTAAAAAATAGGGCAATCATTCATTTAGTTAAAAAGCACCATTTCATAAACAAAGCATTCTACAATTCAAAAAATACTTATATCTTAAACATAGTTTTACAAGGTGATTTATAATGATTCCGGTTTTGACTCGTTACTTATTGCATTTTGGACTCGGGTTGGTTTGATTTTGAATAGTTATTCATATCCATTTCCCTTGTCTTCTTCTTTATTTTAGTTATCGGGTTGTAGTTGTGCGTTTGGGACAAGTTAGTTGCTTGTTTTTCCAAACCTTTGTTGCCTAGATTTTGGCTCTTCCGCTCGAGCAGTCTTCACAAATTTTGCTCATCCGCTCAAGCGGCCATTCTTGCGCTCGAGCGGGATTTGTCAATTCTCAGCATTTCTTTTACAGTTCTAAAATACTAGGAAAGTGCATTGGATGCTCGAGCGTCCAGTCCCACGCTCGAGTGGGGACCTTCGTCTGTAAAACTTTTGGAAATGTGTATTCTACGCTCGAGCGCCAACTTTCACGCTTGAGCAGAACTTTGTGTCTGACACTCGAGCGTCGCTTTCCACGCTCGAGCGGACTGCACATGTAACAGTCCGAGAAGATGATATTTTGAATCACTTTTTCATATCTCTCTCTCTCTGAAACTTTCCAAAAAGCTTGTTCTTGAGTCTCTCTCTCTACAATTCACCTTCTCTTTTAGATTTCATCTAGATCCATCGAGATTTCCACCCAGTGCCTTTGAGAAAAAGGTACAGCTCGTCAAGATCTATATTTTGATCCGAATAGAAGTGGGTTTCGATGTTCTTGGAGTTTCTCTCTTGCGTGACTCATCTTCTTTCTTTGAGGTAGAGATCTTTCTATCTCTTCATATGTTATTTAGCTTAGATATTTGTCACTTGTGTAACAATGGTGTGATTTGGGGATGTTTTAAACAAACCTAGGGTTTGGGCATAAAATGAAAATAGGGGTTTTGGGTGTAGGTGAAATAAATGCTTATGGGGTTTGAAAATGATATGGTGTTATGTCTAATATGATGATTTTGGCACTTAGCTAATATTTAGGAAAAATGGGGAAGTTGCCCTGATTGGATCAACTATTATTTTGTACAAATAACTGGAATTGACATTGAAAATGTGAAATTGAGAAGGTATTGATATGAATAGTGGGATTGGTTATGTATTAACTCAGTCATCTAGAAGTTTTGAACGAACTATTTGTTTAAGATTTAATATCTGTTTAAAGATAACTGTATTGGGCTATTGGTGAAGGATAGTTTCGATTGTTGTAGAAATTGCATGTGGATTAGGTGAATTGAAACGAATATTTTGATGGTTGTCATTGAATATGACTCTGTTTATATACATTGTATATGTATGTTTGTTTAAAAGTGGAAAAGGGGTGTGCTTCATGTTTGATTATCTGTCTAAATACATTGCATATGTATGAATATTTGTTTGGGAAGAGAAAGGGGATGGACTCCATTATAATTAAGTTGGTCGGACTATCCTGGGTGAAAGTCCCGGAATTATACATGGGTGCCTAGCCTGCGGACGAAATATCTGTAAAATGACAATTGTAGTGCTTGTATAGTCTACGTTTACATGGGTCCCATTTGACGGCTGCCCGCGAATGAAATTTCCGTGAAATAGAAGTTTGGAGTGTTTATGCATAGGTGTTGTATGATTTGAAAATTATTGAGTTAGTAGCCTAAATTCGGTTGTTGAAAAATAATGAAATTGATTCATGAATGGAGATAGAAAAGTGAACAGACTATGAATTGAAAGGAAATTGATTAAGACTTGAAATTGATATCTCACAAGTATATAAAGTTATGAAACGTTTTACCACATTGCATTGTTTGTGCACTTGTACTTATATCTTTGTTAAGTTTCATATATTGTGTTAGATAATTTCTACTGAGTTATGACTCACCTTATTTGGGAATAACATTTTCAGGTAATGATGGCATGCCTCCTCTAAGGCAATAACATGGGAGGGATCGTTTGGAAGCAAGAGCTTCATGTTTTGTTTTATTTTATTTTATTTTATTTCTGTATAGCCTAGGGCTAAATATGTAACGAGTGAAGCTCATTTTTGTTGTAACCAAGTTAAGGTTTGAAAAGATGTAAGCCAATAGGACATTTATTTATAGTAAACTCTTTTGTATCTTTAGCTTCATGTAATGAAAGAACTACTTACTCTGATACGATTATTAATGTATGTTTTGGGTTATATCTGTTGTGTATTTTGGGGGCGTGACATGATTACAATGCGGCGTCTAACCTACACAAACATTCAAGCACAACATTTCAAAACAGGTTCAATTCATTCAATTGGTTCTTAAACCTATTCGGTTCATTCGTTACTTATTCATTCAGCTATTTATATGTGTTCTTTAATTTCTCTTGTGTTCATGATATATGCATATGAATTTGACACATGAAAACCATGCACATTGAGGCCCAGAAATCGAAAAAACATAGAGAAAACGAAATGGATGCTGGCTTGAAAATCATATGTGTGGAGGGTCTGGCTGCACGTGCGGAACCACCACTGCACATGCGCTCCGCACGTGCCATAAAAACAGAATGCAAATTGGAACATAGGAGGCTGGCCGCACGTGCGGTCTAGGTTTTCAAAGAATTTGAATTTCAACTCAATTTTTGGAACCTAATGTTTGTAATTTAAACTTCAATTTCATGTATGTTAAGGCCCAAAACTCTTTGAAAACATTTTGAATTTAGCATATTAACTTTAAACAAAAACCATAACTTCAAATCAAAACTTAATTGCTATGCAAAACTTCCAATTCTTGAATTGAAGTATAAGATCACTGAAATATGCATACATCAGTTCTAATTCAAAATCTTTGAAGTCTTCTCTTCACTTTTTATGAACCATGCAAGAATTCATAAAAATATGGACATAAATTTCTGACAAAACTCAATTTGTCAATTGAAAGATTAAAACTTCAATAAATTGGGAAATTACAAAACATGCATACTTTGAGTTCTAATTTCAAAATCAATGGAGTTTTCTCCTCAAATTTGGAGAATCATGCAAGAAATCAAATGTGTGATCAAGAATTCCATGAAATGAAGTCATGCATGTCAAAATATCGAGCTAAATTCTTCAAA